AGCTGAAATCCTCCTGGCAGGCAGCCCTTTCACTCTCAAATGTTCCTAAAGCCCACCAAAGGCTTTGCCTTCTCCTCTGTGGATGGAAGGCAAATCCTTCCTGGAGCTGGAGGAACAGATCTTTAAGATTTGAGCTCCATCCCTGCCCACCGCTGACAGGGAAGGGGAAACATCCCAGTGGTGGGCAGTTATGAAGTCAAATCCTGAAGATCTGAGGTCCATTCCTTCACACTGCTGTGAAGGAACGGAGCTAAATCTTCAGAATCTGAGCTCCATTCCTGCATACCACCGTGTCCCCTCCACTTGCAATCTTCCCTGCCAGCTTCCAATGGGGAAGCCGGCAGAGAAGATTGCAAACGGCGATCACATGATCACGGGTCGCTTGGCAACTGGTCATAAATGCAAGCCAGCTGCCAAGCGCCCAAAATGCAGCCATGTGACTGTGGGGTGGGAGGCAACATTTTATGGTGGCCAGAAGTGCTTTACGGGCTGTAAAGCACCTTTTCTGAGGTCATCATAACTAAATATTTCCTCTATTTTATCCCAGCTACTCATGTGCTCTTCTTTTGCCATTCCCCCATAAACGGACTAGATCCAATTAGCTTCCAAAAGAAGAGGTATTCCAGTATTTACATAAGACTGATTTGATCTCATGGCCTCCTTAACAATTTCTGTGCAAGTAATGTATTATTCCTAAAGATTGCTTTTGGTTTGACCCTAAAAGTTATGCTTTTGGTTTTTTAAATTGCCTTTCTTGGCTTGTTAAACAAGGAAAAACTGAAGCTCCTCTAATTATCATATCCTTTTACTCACCCCAGACTTTCTTTTTTTAATTTTATGTAAATTAAATGTACCTAATTTCTTCAATGCTTAGAAGCCTTCTGTTGTGTTAATTGCTGTATCTTGGACATACCCCAGTTCATTTACAACTTTTAAAAATCTATACACTGATCTATTCTAGGATACAGAGAGAGAGATGCAACTATTCCTACTAACAATTAAGCAACAGAAATACATTATTATGACATGTTCAATGTATTTTATAGATTATGTCATATTATAGTTTAATATAAATGATATCATTAGGAAAAAGCAATGACTAAATGTTATTAAATGTCACAGCATTTGTCATTCCAGGATTCACAAACATTTTTAAAAATTAGAAATAGATAAATGAATCTTGATATCAAATCCATATGCAGAATTAAGCAATGCCTTGTTAAATTAAGGCAAGCATGAAAACACTTTCTCATACCATATTGATAAATATTAATATTCTTACAGAAGCCAGGAGTATGCCCCATAATACAACATAGATTTAAGATTATTTTTAGCATGAACATTCTTCATTTTAAAACTTCACATTTGTGGAATTTCAAAAGAATAGAGGAAATCCATGCAAAGCAGCTATAAAAATTTATTATCTTCATAGAAGTTACCAAATGTTTCCATTTTACCTGACTACTGTAAAACAATGAGGCTAGAGCCCAAGCACAGAAGGATTTGTTTTGATATGGTAGGAATGGCTGCTGTATGTTTTACTGGATTCTGGCAAGTTCTTTTGCGTATCCAAGACTCTAATAACCAATATGGATTCTAGAAGGATCATGGCACAAAAGATAATCGGACAAGATGGGAAAAAAACTTCTGAATAGAACAGTCTATCTCACACTCAAAACAACTGTTTTAAACTTGAAACAAGCTGTTTCAAGTTCAGAATGCTCCAAATATGAAACTTTTTGCCCTCTATTACACTGAAGAAACTAAACATCCAGTTCCTTGCCTTTATTATCTTCTTATACCAGGAGTCAGAATATTCAGTGGTATACAAACAAAATAATTACATTGGCTACCTTCAGACCACTGGATGTTACATACCTTTGTTTGACTTTCAGACATATTCTACTCAAGAAAAAACTTAATACAGACTAAGGTAAGAACACATCATATACTATGTTTCTTTAGAAATTAGAAGTTCATAGCCCTACAAATTAAGCAAGAAGTAGTGAGAAATAACACAGCAGAACATACTGTATGGCAGAATGCTTAAATATCAGAAATACCTTATTACAAACTGAAGATAGATATTTATGCACTGTTAATCAGGCACTAAGTTTTTCTAATTTTAAACAGATTAATTTTTTATCCAACTGAATTTTACTATAGAAGAGGGATTATTTAGTAGGGTTAAATCCTGAACACAGGGACCAGTTTAGCAAAAAATAGGCCGGAGTTCCTAATTTATCTTGGTTTATTGTGAGCAAGCACCTTACAGTCTTCTAACTCTCATGGTGCAAGTTGAAAAAATCAACCAAGAACTGACTATGTGAATTCTGGTTTCTTGTTATTTCCAAACATGGGCAGTAAGTATCATTAGGGTCAGGGTGTAAGTTATAAAAGGCTTGCAAAAACTGCTAATAACAAAATGTCATTTGTTGCTTGCTCATGCAACATTAATCATATCTCATTAATACAGAAATTAATTAGCAAAGGGATTCAGACACTATGCAACTGCATCAAACAAAAGCATTCCATATTTCCAAAAGTACTCAGGTCATTTACTCTATTATACATGTGTTTATAGAATAAAAGGTTGTAAAGAGAATCTGAAGGTCATCTAGACCAGTGTATTCAAACAGAAGGCTCCCTTCCTCAACTCAGGAAAGAGAAAGGAGAGCAGAGAACAGAGAACAGAGGTATACATAGAATGGGACAAGGAGGACAAGTGTACTCATGATTCATCATGCAGATGATGTGAATCATGTGCTTTGCATCATTTTCAGCATGATGCAACTGATGTAAATTGCGTTCTCTGCCATTGCCCCTGCCCTCTGGAATATTCTCCCCCCAGAGGTATGGTGGGTCCCTACCCTCCTGGCTTTCCAGAAAAAACTAAAGACCTGGCTCTGCCAGCTTGCATGGGGCAAGAAGAGTTTTAACCAACCCTGGGGTGGCTGGCACCCTGATGACGCTCCCCAAGCCTAATACTCTCTAGTTACCATCAATCCCTGGAATATATTTATTTGAGACTACTGTTTTATTGTATTTTTAATTAATATTTATCTTTTCTGTAAACCACTCAGAGTTGCTTTTTAACGAGATGGGGATGACAAATTTGATGAATGAATGAATGAATGAATGAATGAATGAGATATTATTATGACTTGTATTATACACCAATACTGGACTAAAGAAGGACAGACCCTTCTGGTATCTAGTTAAGCATGCTAGGTGAAGGGAATTGAACATTTCAACAAAGCATTTTCTGGAGTCTAGGAGTAGAGTAACTTGTGAAAATG